CCAGCAGGTATGTGCCAGAACCCAGGCAGGAACAAACAGCCAGGCAGAGTTCAATTGCAGCCAAACTCAGACATTCAGCCTGCTGAATTGTTTCGTTCAGCTGCCCCCCCCCCCCCCCCCCGATTCTGTAATGAGTTGTGGAATTCGGAAATTATTCATAAAATCAGCTGAAAATGTAGCTTAGAAAATACTAATCTTGCTACATATGGCAAGGTAAGGGTGAACTTGAAGGATGAATGTATTTTCATTTTTAAATGTTTTACTTTTAACCATCTGACCACTTTTTATTTGGTGACATATCATATGAGCACTTTGGTGTAGGCTTGGAAAAACTACAGCTAGGGGTAAGACTGGAAATGGCATAAGAATTAAGGATGCTGAAAATGGATGCTAGAGTCCAGCATGAAAGATGGCATACAGCTGTAGGCTTGAAATGGGAGGAATACATGAGAATATTTATACAGGAAAGCCAGTGGGGAGGGCTGAGTCTTGCCCTGAGTATCTGTGTGCAGGTAAGTCATTCATAAGAAAACTAATTACCTGTGCCTGTTCTTGGATTTGTTTAATTGAAAAAGCTGCATGTGTGCACATTTTCTGTTCTTTGTGGCTATACAATTACTGATTGAGACTTTTTTTTACATGATCGCTCTGGGAAAATTAAATATATACAATGTTAATACATATATATTCAATAGTCATCATGCTGAATAGCTATATTGCCACGAAGGAAAATCCTATCCTAGAAATAAGGTTACTATCATATAAAATCCAACTCAAGGCCTGTGTATTTTAGGGCACAACAACTGGCTTAATATAGTCAACTGCTTTGTTTGTGTATTTGTTTTCATTTAAAGTCCAGAATTAAGGATGTTTTGCAATCAAGATAATGTGCTTCCATCCATATTGAGATGATAATGAAACTCAGTAAATTTTGAATGCTGCAAATACGATACCACATGCAACATGGTTGAAAATGTCTTCCTTGCAGAAGGCTGTCCATTGCTGTGTCTACACATTTTAATATATATATATATGTATATATATATATATATTACAATAAGAAATGCTAGAAAGCAATAGGTGGTAGATGCCGCATCGCTCAGCTAATCAGCACAGAATTCTTTAGAAATCTTTGGAATCACTTCACTCACACATACATTATCTCAAATGCATTGACTTCAAATTGTGTTTCTGCTAATATGAAGTTAATTAGAAAATCAAACTTTGAGCCTTGAAACGATAGGCATTATAGTCAATGGAGTGGTATGTAAGGAAAGAAATAAAAGGAATGTGTTTCTTTTATGATCAAGCTAGGAGGTTCTCCAGCTGGCATCGCATACATAACAGATATGCATATTTGTAATCTTAAATACACTGAAGTAGGGAGGCAACTGTGTATATTATCTAGCAAGAGACAACAGCAGACATTAGCCAAAAAAATAAAGACTGACAGAAAGGGACAACAGAGACAGATAGACATAATAAAACAGGAAGAGGGAAAAAAAAGAGGGGGAGGGGAATCAACAAAACGATACAACCTGAAATTTTCACGAATTAAAAAAATGCAAATATACCTTTACATATGCATCAGTATTAAAAATAATACACGCTGGACCCAACAGGAACAGGAGCAGGAGGAGGAGGAAAGGTGGTGGTGGTGGAGGAGGAGGAGGAGGAGCAAAAGAAGCAGGAGGAGGAGGATGAGAAAGAAGAGGAGGAGGAAGAGGGATAAAAGAGGAGGGAGAAGAGAAGGAGGAGGAGGAGGAGGAGGAGGAGGAGGAGGAAGAGGAGGAGGAGGAAAGAATGGAGGCGCCGCGGAGCCCTGATTATGCATGGGCTGGAGCTGCCTCCTCTAACCTGTTCTCGGAGCCGGGCAGCCGGCGGTCCTCGGCCGCCCACAGAACAGGAGCCGAAACAACCGTTCCCGAAGGCTACAGCGTTTATTTTTCTCTTTTGGGGGATTTTGGCGGTTGTTTCAGGAACTAGCCAACTGGCCCCTTTAATTAAAAGCTTCAATAAAAGGCGATCGCTCCAGGAAAGCACTCGCTCCTCTTCGCGCAGGATTTGCATATTTTTTTAATGCCCTAATTTCCTTGATGTATGTAAATGTAGCCGGACGTAGAGGGAGACAGGGAGCTGACGTCAATGGACGTGACCTCGCAGCTAAACCTTGAACGTGAAGCCGGGATGGGAGAAAACACGGAGCGGCAGCCGGCGGAGCCCGCAAGTGCGGGCGGCGGCAGCTGCGGCCGGTGTCAGGCCCGAGGTGCCCAGTGCCAGCCCCAGGGGAGGACCAGCCGCTGCCGCCACGTTTCTGCACCGCGCAGGTGCCAGCTTCGCCATTCTTCCCGTCACACTTGCAGACTCTTGTCCTGCGCCACCAAATACACGTTCTTTTCTTCCCCCAGAAAAACAACACATCTAAAGCAACAAACCAAAGGAATCCCAAGTGTTTCAGCCCAAAGCTCGGGTCGCTTATCAGAAAGAAGATTGACAATGGAACATGATTTTTCTTTTTTTCTTTTTCTTCTCTCCACAAGAAGACGAGGGAGAGACAACAGACACCAGCAAAGCATTCCTAAAACACGATAAAGCTACACATGTTCCCAGTAGGGAGAGGTAAATTGCCCAGCTATCGGCGAGGGCCTTCTCTTTTTGGTACCTATTTACCTGAGAACTCTTTTTGCTTGTCGGCCTCAATTAACAGTAGGGCCAGGAGTTTTACTGTGATGGCTCTCGAGTTTTACTGTGATGGCTCTCTCTCTCTCTCTCTCTCTCTCTCTCTCTCTCTCTCTCTCTCTCGCTCTCGCTCTCGCTCTCGCTCTCGCTCTCGCTCTCGCTCTCTCCCCCCCGCCCCAATCTGGGGTGTGTGTGTGTGTGTGTGTGTGTGTGTGTGTGTGTGTTGGAAGATGCTTAAGCTGGCGAGCAGCCAGGCAGGAGATGTGAGGACATTAAGAGGCCAGTCTTTGCAAAAGTCAGGTCTGGGACTTAGGCGGGGAGCTACCGGGTCAGGGCTCCACGGCTGGGGTTCGAGTTCACCCCGAAAAAGGCTTCCCTTGAACAGCCAGGCCCTTCCGATTGCATGTCTGGGGAAGGGGACTCGAGGTGCCAGACACCCCCTTGGCCGCTGCTTGCATTTGGCCTGGTGTTTTCTCCCGGTGGAGACCGTGGCAATGGCAGACTCGCCCGGGAGGCCTTAGGGCTGAGCTCCTGGCTCCCGCGCGCCAGCTCCCGCGTGCCCGCGCATCGGGCGGGGGCCGCTGGCACCTCCCACCCACACTCGCCCCCGCGGTAGCTCGCCACCGTCTTTAGGGCGCTAGGACTGGGGACTGAGCTGGGCTTAGGGTACAAACCCATGCAGCCACGGAAGGGGCGCTAGAGGCCGTGCTGCTAGCATCTGCAGGCCGCGGTTTCTTTCTAGCTCCCAGCCTCAGCTTTGTTTTCCTGACCTGTTCGCGGCCACTGGGCTCCACGCCCGCGAAGGGAGTGTGTGCATGTGCGTGTGCATGGGGGGCGAGCGCGCGCAGCGGGCGGGGGGGGGGCTCCCGCCAAGGGGACGCCTGGCTAGCTGTCCTCCCGCTGCACTTGGCGGGAAAGCCGGGGAACGCCGGCGGGGCGCGCGCACAAGGCTCTCTTCTCCGCCTTCCTTCTACCCTCCCACCCCCGGCCACATTTACATACGGGCCACTCGCCAGAATTTTAAATCGCACCACCCCCTCCTCACCCCCCTCCAACGCGCGCACAGGCTCCGCGCCCAGACTGCATCCAACCCCGGGTGCGCAATAGGCCCTGGGGGGCAGACAGCCCTGCGCGGGACAGGTTCCTCCACCGCCTCCTCCTCCTCCCTCACGCCCGCACCCCAGAGAGCCTTCTGCCAACGTTGCAGGATGCCCACCTTTCCTGAAAGCCCCCACCTTTCTCTTTGCACACTTCCACCTCATCCTCCCGCATCTCTGCCTCCCTGGAGCACACACACACACACACACACACACACACACACACACACGCTTTTTCTTCCCTCTCAACCCTAATGTATCTCTGGTACCTTTGGAATAACGCTGGAGTTTAGAGAAGAAAAATTCTTATAATGTATTCCTTGTCTTTAGTCAAACATATTTATACCAAAAGGCCTTTCTTTAAAAAAAAAAAAAAGTCTGCAAGTCAAAAGGTCATTCTCCAAGTTTGTAAATAAAATTGCAAAGGGACTCCCTAAAGAAAGGAAAGGAAAGGAGAAAGGAAGGCAGAAAGGCCCACAAGTTACGTAAAATGTTGCACTGGAAAAATAAGACAGGAAGATTCTCTTTAACATGTGTCTTAAGAAACCAAAAGAGGGAAACTGGAGGAAAAAAGAAAAAAAAAAAGAGAGCGAGAAGAAGATAAAACGTGGAAAGGGCAAAAGAAGTTTCCAAAGAAATGTATGCTTTGCATGCTACAATAGGAAAATGTAGCCATTGCCTTCCTTCAGACCAGACATTTCTAATTTGTTCCGTCTGTCAGGAGGGGACTATGAGAGGTTTGGGTGCAAATTCATTATCTCTGGCAACGCAGAACGTAGTGTGGAGACTGAAAAAGACCGTGGCAATGGATGAACAATAGGGCTTCAGTTCATCAGTAACAAAAGCAGTGGGGAAATTGGTTGAGTTTCAGAGCACGTCCTCCTCGGCAGAGGGGGCTGGACTAGACCTTGGACAGCCCCCCCAAAAACTTGCCGAGCCTCGCACACACCACTTCACTCTGCACTCGGAGGATCAGGGAGCAAGTGCTTGGCGTGGGGGGGAAAGTTGGCTTTTTTTTTTTCTCCTTGGTCTTTTGCGTCCTTCTCTCGCTCCTCAGAAGACCGGTATAAACTATTTTAGACGCAATCAAGGAAGAGTCACCATGTGGACTTGAGCGGCAGTTTTAAATGTGCTAAGGGAGGAAGGAATAATCTGAATTTTTTTCTTTTTTTTTCTTTCTTTCTTTTTTTTTTTTTTTTTTTTTTTTTTTTCTCTTCTTTGGAGACGCCTAAAGGAACCTGTTTGTGAGCTGTGGTTACATTCTGATGTGACTGGATCTTGTCTTCTGCCTTGGATCCTCGATTCTGGACGGGCTGGATTTAGGGGCCACAGTGCCTGGCGCGGAGAGATCAAGTGAGTATGTTGGCCTCCCGAAGGCTGCATGCAGCTCCTCCGGCTGCGCGGGACTAGCGGTGCCCGCAGTGGCCTGGCGCCCACACTAAGAGCGGCCGAGGGCCGCTCCGAGGGCCAGTCCGGGGCTTTGCTTCAGCTAATTGATTGTGTGCCTCCGTTGCCAAACCTGTTGATCTCGTGAGTTGTCCGAGCCAGGACTGTTAATTATCCACTCGCCTGACCCCCAGTTACAGAGAGATGCCAGGAAAATTTAGCTTTGGAAAAGGATGTTTTGTATGTAATTTTGTAGTGGTGGTGGTGGGACACCCCCTCTTAGATATAGTGCTAAAATCCTATTGTATTTTACGTTCTTGAACTCTGGATTCTCATTTTCAATAATTTGCCTCTTCTGAACCGTCCCAAAGTTTCAGTTACCTGGCCTTGAAGCCACGGTCTGATCAGATCCTGGTGCAAAACTTATATACAATAGCTAACCACATCTGCTGGGTTTCCTTCTTTTCTGCCTTTTGGATTTTGGAAGGGAGAGACTGCTTTACTAAGGTTATCCCAAGTTAAGCTTTATTGATATGTAACCTTCGTGGTTAGTTAGAAGGACTTGGAGCTATTCATTTTTAGACGCATCTGGTATCCGAGCGGAGCCTGGTCTTCGTTTGCTTAGAGCCCAAAACCGACTGAAGAAGGCAGAACCTTCTTTCCGTGCTTTGGAGCTTTCTGCGGAAACCTTGGGCTAGGGGAACCAAAGCAATGTATTTGCATTAGGTTCGGCCGCGTTTTCTCTTGCAAATGTGTCCGCGGTGCTTGAATGGGGCACGGTCTGGAGGGGTCAGGGCAATTCAGTGGAATTGATCAGAAGTTAGACAAGAGGCCCTGTCAAGTCACGGCCACGGCCCTGCGGTGGGGGTTGGGGTAGGGGTGGGGGGGTTGGAGCTGTGGTTGCCATTGGCCCACAGCCGTGGAGTCAGATCTTTTCCCCTTCTTCTGTTGCCCACATCTGCCCACCACCCTCCATCTCCATCTTGGCACCAGTAACTAGGGCGCTGGCTCAGGAACGAGCCACTATAGTCAGCCTAATTGAACCCGTGAAGTACTTTCATTTTGCAACACCAATAGCCCCACCCCACCAATCCAAACTAATAATAGTAATAATAAGCATTTAAAAATTATAAAAGAAAAGCAACCTGTCTTCGGGGATGTAAGATTTCTTAATATTGGATCATGGAGGTTGGGGGAAGGGCATAAAAAATCCACCACTTTACAGCAATCAGGTTTTACATTATTCATTGATTTACCGACCGAAAGAGCCAATCAGGAGCCATAGATATGAATGCACATATCACTGTGCTGTGGCCTTACAGTAAACTATTTGCATCTTTCTAATGGATTAGACATTTATCCTGGGATTCCCATTGTTTGAAAGCCTTGGAAATTCAGCCCCTTAAACATTTAGGAAATAAGACTTTGTTCCAGACTCAAAATCCTTACATGGTAGGGTTCTCACTTCTCTTTTGTATGGCATATTACAAGGTTCAAATCCCTAATGTTTCTTAAGTCTCTCTCCTTTCCAAGCTAAAAATAAAAGGAGAAAGAAAAATTAATTTCCCAAACCCCTCTAGATCCTGCATATTTTGCATTCCCATTATCATGCATGTCTCCATTTAAATGCAAATTAGCATATTTAACCCTGTAGGTGCTAAGACCCAGGATACACAGTACTGGTGTTTGAGCGACTCTCTTGGCATTTTATGGATTCAGGGTAATTGCAATATTTTAAATGAAGCCATATCTATATATGATTATATATATAAACTGTAATCATTTGTTTTCTTGACTGTTTTTCAGATGAGACTGCAAAGACACATAAAATGAATAGACTATCCAACCAACCAAAGGTAATTTAAAAATTTTTATTTGATAAAATCTGAGTGATGTGCAAAACCAAAATAGGGCATTATTTACTGGCTGACAGGCCTGCAATGTATTACAAATCTCCTATTGCAACAGATAGAATTCCAGAAAAATCTAAGTTTCAGTGTGTTCAGTTATTTCTCCTGTAGAGGAGCCTTTGTGCATATATGGAATATATACATATATATGTGCATAAAGCGTAATATAAATAAAACCTGCAACAGCCTATAAGAAAGAAATTCATATCCAGAAGAAATAGTAAGATACTTTTATTACAAATAGGCCAGTTAAGTACTTTACTTGAACCATGCGAATTGCTGTAAGTTAAATGGCTTTTATATAGAAAATATTAGTATGGACTGTACTAATAGACTATAGTTTGCATGCTTGAAATCTCTACAAACCAAGTATTTAAAAAGAGTTTGGTGACAGGCCAGTTCTTTATGTACTCTGCAGTAATATGAATGGAATTTAGAGATGCTCCAAATATTGGTGATTAGAATTGATTTATATTAGTATTAATAAAATAGCATAATTCTCATCTAAAATATAAGGAAAATCGTAACTGTTTGCTTTGGACCAGCAGAAGTTGTTTATTCCCAAGCAAACCAGGATGTTTTCAATTCACATTTCAGCCATCTGTAGACTTCCAAAAAGATCAGAAAACATGCATGAAAATCACATCCTTACTGGCTATTAATGAGAATTTATTAGAGAATAGGCAGGCAAGCCATTTTGATTTCAGTGTATCTTTCGATATGCAGATTTCAGAGTGGATATTCTGTGCTCAGCTAAAGAGCTTTTTAAAAGCAAAAAAAAAATTGATTTAAAAATGTAGGCATTAAGAGCTGTTCTTCACATGTGGTGCAGGAATCCTCAGAGCTGCACAATTTTTTTAGCTAGTCTGGGAGTGTGCATAATAAAATATATGATAAACATGGCAGAAACCTTGACAATATTCTAAATAATGAGAGTCAATATTAAGTCTTAGTGCATATTTTTTTCCCTTCTGTGCCTGAGAGGTTGATGGAGAAGTAAAATATTTAATTGACTATATGGTTAATGAACAGACTGCCCATAATCCTCATCTTGGCTCATTTCATTTATTGGGGTTCCCATGATGAATCTGTTATGAGTACCAGTCATGGAAGCCAGTCATGGAGTAGGTTGACTGTGCGTGTTGCCCTAGAAAATGCTATTTTAAGACAGTATTTCTATAGTTTCTGATTGTAGAAGCATTCAAATGTTTGGTGTGTTAGCTCTCATAATGGATACTGTTTCTAAAAATACATTTGTTAACTATGGGAATACAGTCATAACTATTTTTAAATTCACATGAATTCAAGGATAATGCACACACATACACAGATACATATATAGCTTGGCAGCTCCCACCTGGAATATATGAAGCAGGTAGATGTTCTAAAATTATCTGGAATTTGGGGAGCTCTGACTTAAGGAATTGAATACATTTGATCATATTCTTGCTTTATGTATGTAATCCATGCCAAATCACTAATGACTCTGCTGTTCTTGGAAAGCAAGGCCACAATGCTCTTCAGTCTTCCAAGCCTTCAGAGCTCATTAGGATTTTATATAATGGCCAAAGTGGCATGTGCCTTAGTGAGTAGTTTGTGTTGTGACTAGGTAGTTTAAGAACAAAAATTCTTTGAACCTGCTTTTTTGGAATTGGCCTGTAGTTTCCATGTGTATTTTATATATTAGCCCTATGCAGCCATTTCTGACTTACCTCTTGTTCATAATTTGTTAAGAAACATAGATGAGTTGTTTTTTAGTGTTTTCTAGAAAGCCAGTAAAAGAATGCTTATAAAAGTAAACAACAACAACAACAACAACAAAAATCTAAGGACAAGTTGGCATCTGCATTGCTAAATTATATCTTTAATTGGTGTGAGATCATGCTTAAACTCTTTATTGGATATTTTTCCTTACAATTCTTTGGTTTCTTTTCTTTTCCTATCAGTTTCTTCTACAGTGTTTACATATATGTACTCTGTATGTGATTAGATAAACATGTTCACACTCATGTCTTAAATGAATAAGTCAGTGAATTACTGAAAGAATATATGTTCTGAAAAATGTAATTTTGAAGTTGTTTTGGTCACTGGAGAAAATAGTTACCCTATAGAATTAAGAGTATTGTGATGGACTGGTGAGGTGTGCAATGGATATTAAGATGTATTCATTCTCTTAGCATGCATTTTAAAGAATAGCAACACTACCAAATGAAATTAGTAATTTTGAAGAATTTGCCAACAGAGAAAATGCCTCTTGTGTAGATTGCCACAGATGTTTTGTCAGAGGCATCTGAATGCTGGAACTACATATAGTATAGATGCGGTAGACAGATAACCCATTACAAAGGAGAGAAAAGAAAAGGACTCCTTGAAGTGATTGTATTCACACTTTATAAACTTCTAAGAAAATGAATGAAGCTAATTTATAAATAACCTTCTTCGTCTTTAGACCGAAGAAAGATGGGGGCAGGGAACGGGAAGGAGGGGTAGCACCATGCTCTGCACATCCAGGTGTTCTATGTGCATTTTCAGGAGACAACAATACTTATGTCATAATTTCATAAGCAAATCTAGTGCGTTTTGTCCTGTGTGAAAATTGATATTTAAAACAATAGACAAAGGCTCAGCATTTTTATTACAGCAGAGTTGTCTGCAACATTAGAAACTACTGCTACAGTGTTTACCTGTGCTGCAGTCTAACGCATACACCATTTATATGCAGTCATGAAAAGAAAAAGGATGACTCTTGCCTGTTTAGAGCATTCAGTTTGAACTCACAGAACAGAATACGTTGCCCTACCGTCATGGCACATAGACACAAAATATGACTGAGCTGTGAAGCCATTAAAAACACAACACCAAAGCAAATTGTCAATGTAATCACACATCGACTCACTACGTAATACAGATCTGATTCCCAGACCCAGAAAGCGAGACCCTGCTTTAAGCAATAGTAAAGTGTCTTCCACCTGCCTGCCCATGCAATCTGCCAGAAGAGAAATGCAGGCAAAGACGTTCCCCAGACCTGAAATGCTTTTATCTGTCCTTAGAGAGAGATTTCTTCCAGTCTTTGGATATTAGAGCGATCTACACTAGCACCGAGGAGGTAAAAGGCCGCGGGTTGCTTTTCCGGGAGCAGTCGGTAGTGCTAGCGGAAGAAATGTTGGCTGAGAAAGTAGGGCTTTTTGCAATCCTGCTGCTGCCACCGCCGCCACAGCTGCTGCCGCCGCCGCCGCCGCCGCCGCAGCCTCCGCTACTCCGGCAGCAGGCGTGGGGCAGTTGGCTGATCACTGATGCATATCAATAACCATGTACTTGAGATTTCTCATGACATCATCATTACCTTGGTCTCCCGCGGTCTCGAACCTTTGACCTTGCCGGGCTGGTCCACAATTTGGCAGTGAAAGCCCCTCCAATGATGGCCCTTTTCTCCTTCTTTCAGACCGGGGGCAGCAGCACGCCAGCAAGACAGCATCTTCTCCTCCCCAGCCTAGAAGCCCTGTGAAATCGAGGATCTTCCCCCTAAAACACTCACATACAAGATATGTGCAATCAAGCTGCCAGCACTTGGTAAAAAGCTCATGATGCCTAACCCAGTGATCGGGAGCAGATCCTTGAAACGGCTGTCACTTCTCTAGAATTGGATTTTTCCCCCTTCCTCCTTAACCTGCGCTGGAAATTGCCGTTGGCTTTGTACATCTCTGTAGAGGAAGGCTAAAGTCTTGCGTGAAAATGAAGCAATTTACAATGCAAATAGAGGCCTGTGAAGTGACGGACGCTGCTGCTCAGTCTAACAGCTTTGCTGCACCTTAAGTAGCTGGTCTTATTTTCTGATATTAATAGATGAATTGTTGCCTAACGCTGCCGGAGATTACTTGCTGGAAGGGGAAAAAAATGTTTGGAATAAACTCTGAATGCAACAGATCTTATTTGGATGTTTTAGCTGCACACACACAGAAACCAGGTCATATTTACATAGAAGGAGGAATCTTAACCGCGGGCAAGTATCCTGATGGACTACTCTTGAGTAACGCCAGCCAGAAAGGACCTGGATCTGGAGTCCCGCCAGAGGAAGACCCAGCCTTGTGAGCGAAGCGAGTTGTTATCTTTGGTTATCTAGCTGTATGAGTGTATTGGTCTTCATAAAGCTAGATAACCGAAAGTAAAAACTCCTTCAAGATCGCCGAGGAATGTGCAAGAAAGAAAGACTACAAACAAGAGACAGTAAAAACCAGAAAGGTCAGGAATACTTATTGAATCTAACTTTTTTCCTCTCTTATGATTAAAAGTGGGATGCAAGGAAATTAAGTGACACACCTATGTTGAAATCTAAAGGGGTTAGGTTTGGAGAGGGATTGTAGAACTGCAAAAGAGAATTGTGTAGTATTACTGAGTGAAGATGCACGTACAGTTTGTTGTATTTTAAGGCATTTTTTTACAATAAGAGGAAGTTCCTCTTTTTTTTTTTTTTTTTGCCTTAGCTGTTGTAGTGATGTCTGATACCTATTTAAAAACGATTCTATAACTATGTAGATTTGGACAGTTCCCCTCTGAGGCCCCTCCCCCCACGTTTGAAACACGTTTGGAAACGACTTTCTATGTATTTGGGGCTGTACATCAAATTCTACCAAGTTAGGCTTTCAGAAAAGTTTTTGCTGGAAGGTTAATAATTTATACCTACTGAGGACTTAGAACTAGCAGGGAAAATGAAAAAAAAAAAAAAAAAAAAAAAAAAAAGCAAAGGCTGATTTTTATTCTTCTATTCAAAATACAAGGACAGATGCTTCTCTGTTCCAAGAGGGTTTCCTTGAGGAAGCTACTGAAGCAGAAAGGCATGATGGAGACGAGATCGCCTCCCCTCTTGTCAAAGTGTTAAAAAAATGTTCTGTCTTACTCTGTGCCTAGCATTGGAAATGAAAGTGACATTTACGCCACAACCCACGTGTGCGCCTCCTCTCTTTTTGTTTAAGGATGATCAGGTCTATCCAGGAAACAGCTCTGGCATCCCAAACTGAAATAATTAGGACGTATATAGACCTGACAAAAATGGAAAGGGGGTGGGGAATCTGAGGGTCTGTCTTGCCTAATTGATTCCGCTAAACGGAATGCAGGAGATGTGAACGGCAGGACGCTCCGATTCCCACGCTCGGGGGCAAGTGGTAAAGCGGGGCGGCAGCCTATGACAGACAGCCCTGTTGGGGGGTAGGGGTATGAAAAAAACATCAAGCGTGCACACCATACTCATCTCCATCGCTTAAGAAAGTAAAGGCATTTCCCACCCACAGCCATCTGCAGCCTCCCAAATGGCAACACCAACTGCTTGGTATCTGCTACGAACTGTCTGTTTCTGTCAATTTTTTAACCACTGTTTAATCTGACCATGATTACATTTGGCTTTCTTCTTTGGTTGAGATTTTCATTATATAAGGAAAGTCCCAGTGCAGCCTGCCCCTCCTCTCCTGTGAAATCTTGTCTGTATTTAGGACCTTGTGATAACTTTTTGGCTTTTGTTTTGGCTGCGTTATTAAAAACACATCTAGCTATAAGGGTCATTATTATGACTTCATCAGGTTGTTTACCTTAATGTGACACACTTAGGAACTTGGCCTGTTTTATGCTACTCTGGAAATAAAACTATAAAGTCCTGAGCCTATAGAAAGTTTTTTTACAATAGCAATGTGATCAAAAGTTGTTTCACAATAGTCCTAGTAGGATGTGTTTTAAACAGTCATTTTTATTTAACCTAGAACTGGACTTAGCACTAACTTTAAGGTTTTGGACAAACTCACTGCAATCCTTTTCTAAAATTCCTTATATTTTGCTACATGTTACCACACACATTTGTACAGACATTTGCACATAAATGTAATCATTGCAATAAGAAAATGTCAACTGTAGCCTGTTATCTCCCACATGGCCTAGATTACTGATACTCCCAAATATATAATTTTCCTTCAGTGACAGTACACTTTTTGTGGCTTCAACTTCTTATAAGACTTGAGACTGGAAAAGCCTGTATAACCACTCTTGTTTCATTTAGAAATTCTGAGAGAGACTTTAATAACAAAAATTCTCAATTTGGCTGCTGAACACGTGCCAAAGTTTTACTACTGTAGTGACTGTTGAGAAGACCCTTGTTTATTTACATTTGAAGCACTGTTTGTGCAAACAACCTTTCATTGTTAAGTGCCTGTATTCCTTTCATTTGCTTCATGTCCAGGGGTGCTATTTACCTAGAACCATTGTCTAACTACAATTAACATTTACATTACAAAGTGTGTGGTTTTCTTTCTCAAGGAGGTTCAATTAAGGCAATAAGATGTTTGCTGGGGAAACCTATTGTTTACTGAAGGCACTCAATGGAGTCAAATTACTGAAGCTTTTGCCTACATCTTGGTCTTTTATGTAAATATGTTAAATATAACATCTAAGGAAAATAAACAATATTAAAATTATGTGTTTGCCATTGTCATATCAAACTTGCTTTGTATCATACTAATGTTGCATAACTTATCGATCAATAAAAATACATTTCAATGTTATTTTCATTTTACTTTTTGCTGTTCCACTGTTCTTGCTGCAACATGTCCCAAATTTTCTTTTTTCTATTGCACATCAAACTTCTGACATTTTGTTTTATTTGTGTGTGTTGAAGAATACCATATCTGAGCATGGGTCTGAAGGGTGTTCAAGATAATCTCTACAATGACCTGATTATAAGGTGATATTTCTTTGAAATCTGAAATATTCCAAAGGCGTGTACATTTAAGTCAAAAGAAGTGTAAATATCAGTTAAGTAGTTCTTTGAAAGCTAGTTTTAACATTGGCAGAAACCGGATCAAGTTTATTTAGCATACCACTGCATTGTAAAACAGTTGGACTGAAGTTGCAGGTTGCGTGAGTATGCATGTTAACTAGTGGGAACCAAGCGCAGTCTTTGTGAAAGGGGAGCAGCAGATTGCTGTGCAAGGCCAATGTTAAAAAGGCAGCTGAATTTAACACCATCTGGAAGAAAAGATCCCTTCACGACTTTCTCACACCGTCAGACAAAACTAGTGTCTCTTGTTCAGAGCCCTTGTCTATGCAACCATACAATACTGAGTCATTATACTTTTGCTGAGAGAAAATTTGAGAACACAATATGGGTAACCAGTGAATGACCAAGTTTCATTGTGCCCGCTTAAGTCGATTGAAATCTACGTCTAGAGCTATGAATGGTAGTATTGTTTTCCTCACTAGGGCTGTACTAAATGTCAGCACAGTGTAAAGAAAAACTTGAAGTCTGCAAATAACTTACCAGATCTCAATTATAATATTTTCCCACACTAGAACTAATATCATTGCAAGGGGCTACATTGCAGAAAATACAAAAAAGAAACTAAAATAAGAGAGTTCATTATGGAGTTATTTTATCCAGACAAACATTTTAATTTTCTGATTGGAACTTCAGACTGCAGGTCTAGTCAAGGAGTGGAGTTCATTACTTGGAAGTTCAAGTTACAAAAATGCTTCTCATGCAATTTAACTAGAATAAAAACAAACACCTACCTCTATCTGAAACCCTAACAGACTCCACATGGGTTTTATTACCATAGTTCTGCTTAGAATTGTTAGTTGTGAATCTAACTTAGATTTTGCTTTGAATTTTAGCACACTACTCTCTCAAAGTTTGCCACTGTGATTGACACTGCAAAGAATGCTAAAGAAATACATTTCCAAAAATACACAAGAACATAATGGCACTTTCCTAGGTGGACTCTAGTGCCCTCAGAAATATGCTTCCCCTTTGTGTTGTCTAAATTTGTTTTATACATAATGTGTATCAGATCAGTTATCTCTAAAGGTAATACTCATACAATCTGTTTGACTGTAAACAGTCAGAAAAAGCTAACAAAACAGTTCAGGAAGAGTAAAAGGAACTGGGTGTATACGTTTTATTAAGATGTCTATTTTAAATATAATTGACTTTGCAATTTTGTTATTGTGTCACCAAGTGTCGCATAGTTCTTAACATGTAAGCACAAAACAATGAACAATTGCTGTTTTGCTGAATAATACAACTGAGTTGCCAGCGTCAAAGGTATTATTAAGTGTATTTCTAAACAGGACTGCTAACTGCAGGTTTTGACATCTAGAATCTTTTCATGAAAATACTCAGAAATAGGATGATAAAGTGATACATTTAAAAAGAAATATAAAGATATAACCAACTTATTTCCTTGTCCCCTTTTGTCATACTAGAAATTAACAATGAAAAGCCACTCAATAAAGTATAAAGGATGGAACTAACATAAACAGTCATATAAAATCCAACAAATGGAAGTTAAACCGAAGTTAAAAAACAGATACATAAGAAGACTTCTATAATATTTTGGCAAAATATGAATGAGTGTATTCAATGTCTTTCTCTTAGTGAAATTACTGTTAATATGCATAATAATGAGACAAGTACATTATTTGCATTCAAAATGGAATGTTCTTCCAAAATAACTTCTTGAAGTCTTCTTAAAGCACTAACTTTTGTATTAGTAGTGCTCTTCATGTTTCTTTAAAAAATGAAAATGATTTTATTTGTAAATATATGAAATTTTAATTTTATTTTGTGTAGTCTGATGAAAATCAAGAACCCTTTTAAGTAATAAGATAAAGATGAGTCCATTTCAAGCTCAAAAACATTCCTCGTATTCATAGACCACAAATAAACACTTGGGGAGAGTCTAGCATTTTAACACTTTGGGGCTTTTAAAACATTGAGAAGCAAAGCCAAAGCTTCCATTTTATGATGTAATTAGATAACAAAAGAGATGTAGCTATCTCAGGGATTTCCTATGGCTCACCTGTGGAGATACCGTTGTGATTTAAGACTATCCATACCATTTCCACCTTTTCTGTGACTTTTCCTTAATTCACTAAAGTAAAGCACACCATGTTAAGTTGTATTGGGATGGATACTGGGTGGTGATGGTGAGATGGGTGACAAGGGATGAGTTGTCCCTTGGGATTAAGAACTAGAATTAAAGTTATTGAGTAAAAGACAGCTATAATACTGGGTCGATTGTCTTTACCAGTACTTCGAGACAGTTAAATAGACCCTACAACAATGGTGCATGTAAGGCAGTTTTTCAGTGTCTCCGGATTTTAATGGATGGCTTTGTTACCCTGTTTTTCTGTTCTTTTTTTTTGTTTTTTTCTTTGAAGCACAAGTTAAGCAAGCTAGTATAGAAACCAGCAGGAGCCTCCATTCCCATTTGCTTAGAGAACTTATTTCAGCCCTTCTGGGAATTATTAGACCTCACTGTGGAATGAAGTCTAAGACAGTGAATGAAAAAAGTATATAGTTGTGATTGCTGCTAAGGAATATCTGCCTGTCCTCAATCAGGGCCGCGGGAGTTAGTGCACTTCCTTAGAAAGGTGATGACCATCTTTTGAGGTTGAAGCGTGTGGCTTTTTGCTTTGCAGCCAACTGCCAGACCACGGGGGGTAGAGCTTTAAAAAGTGCAGATAATCGACTTTATTCAGGGAAAATATGGAGTTCTGCGCCGGATCTGTTCAAAGAGAAGCACATCACTGTGCTTGGTGGTTTGACTCGGTTTTAGCTCAGCGCCAGCACAACGCAGTCTAGAGATCTAAAAATAACCAAGCTAAGCAGCCTTCTCGCAAGGTGCTCGGCGTGGGCGGTGTGCGGAGGCAACAGCAGGCTCTGACTGGTGTAGAAGTGGCTGGGCCAGGCAGTAGCAGAGGCACAGGCTGCAGGTCCGCCTCTGGGCAACACAACCCTCCCGGCGACCGCCAACAGCCAGAGTCCTCACTTGGCTGCTGCAGCTCTGGCAGCCACTGAAAGCCTGCGTCTGATTGGTGTTTCCCGGGAGACCGGCTGCCTGAGCTGCAGAAGCTGCTGCGCCGGCGCGCGCGCTCCCGGCTAGCGCGAGTCGGGAGCCGGGGACGCGCAGCGACCCGGGTGGCGGGGTGGGGGAGCCTCCCGCGTTCGCGCGAGCTCACGTGCCCGCGCCCGGCCTGTGGGCGGTGATGGGGGCCGGTGGGGCAGTGGCGTCCCGGCCGCCTGTCCTCTGCTGACGCCCTGAATGCACCCAGCAGGGCTGTTGAGAGTGGTGTGCGGATCCCTAGGCCCCGCAACCAGCCACCTGGGCCCTGCTTGTGCCTCCCGTGTCTGCGTTTGCTTGGGAATCCCGTTTGTGGATGGGGTGGCGTTGAGGTTTAGTCCCTTCTCAATAGGGGTTTGTGGAGGCATCTCTCCACCGCCGTTCCCTGCCTCCGAGCCCCTTCCTCCGCGGGGCTGCACCCTCTAGTTATGGGGCTTTTCTCCTTTCTACTCTGCCCAGGTTTCTGCCCTGGATACGTTCTGAATCGTTGGATTGGTTTAGTGATGTCCGCTTGGTCATGTCCCCTCCCCCTCCACATCCTTGTTGTTGTTGTGTGTGAACCCAGCGAGATGCTACTAATGAAAAAGGATCTCCCATTGGGAAAACTCTTGTGGGGGTGTTTCCTGGGTTGGGGTCGAGGAGCACCCACTTGGGCCCTCTCCAAGAGCCTTGTCTGTCTCTACCCCATCCTTCCATGGGGAACTCAGGGGCACCTTCCTTCTATCAGATTTGATGAAAATACTAATCTCCTTGTTGGGTGGATACAGTAGAACTTGTTCACAGATTACTTTAAAAAGAGATCTGAGTCCTAAGCACTTACTAAAGCCAGTTAATAACATCATGCATGGACATTTAAACTTGTTGTAAGTTGCAGAGAGGATTAGCGAGAAGTCACGCTGTGCGCAGCTAATGATACCATCTTAACTCTAACTGGCCTAAATCCATGTCTGGCTCAGGTCCGGGCCTTAGGCCCTCTAGTGAGCCTAGGAAAGAGGAGGGCCTTGGAAGAGGGGAGGGCAGAAACTGGAGCACTGCGCCTTGCTTCAGGTGAAGGTCAGTTATCCTGGGGGACTGTGGGTGGGGTTGGTGGGTTGGCCATATCACCAGGAAGCAGACCTAGGCATCCTGGTGTCATGATAATGACAGGCTAATGACACTGACACTGAAGGGTATTGACCAACATGTAAAACTTACTTTTTCAGACACCATTTCACTATGTAACCTCGCTGGCCTGGAACTCAGGGAGATATGCCTGCTTCTGCCTCTAAAGTGTGCCACCACCCAGAGCAAAACATTTTTTATGTTATTAAACACGATGTGAAAGGTTGTTGGAGGTGAGATGTGAAGCTTCCAGAGGTGGTGGCTTTCTAGTTACTGGTCTGTTTGTATTGCCAAAGCTGGTTATTTTCAACTTTGAAAAAATAGTTAGGCTCAATATTTCACAGGTAAATTTCTCAGAGTATTATTAACAACTTCTTGTCATAAGCCTGCTCAACAAGTTTCAAATCGATTACAATTTTAAGGCAGTTAGTGACTATTTTATGACAGGGCCAATTAGAAATATCCCTGGAAAAATGCTTCCAAAATGCTACATTATTAAAATGCCTAACAGTATTCATCTGGTTCTGTCTC